TATTGCTAAATAAGCTCCTTTGCTTGAAGGTAGTTATTAAAATATGTATTGTGAGAAAGGGAGAAAAGGACCTCTTCCTCGACCTTCTCTATCCCAGGCATAATCTGGTGCGTGGAATCTTGCCATCTAGTGGTCAGCGAGCAGATCACAGCCTCCCCCCAAACACTTTTGTGCCATATGGAGACACCACTGGGTTTTCAAGGCAAGACACAGGCAGTGGTGGTTTATGCCCTTAACCTGCCTCTGCGTAGCAACCCTGGATTTCTTTCATGGTCTCCCATCCAAGTGCTAACCAGGTTGGATGCTGCTTAGCTAGAGATGTAAAATTTCCGGAAATTTTGAAGCTTGGAAAAAAACCCGGGGGTTTTTCAGGGGTTTTTTTTTGGGGGGGGGGGGAACAGAAATTTTTGGAAAAATTGAAAAAAAATGCTACATTCGCACTTCTTTTTTCTGTTCCAGATTGAAAGTCATTCTGTTACTTTGTTGTTCAGTCGCACAGTCGAGTCCGACTCTTTGCGACCCCATGGACCAGATCACGCCAGGCCCTCCTGTCTTCCGCCGTCCTCTGAAGTTACACAACTAGCATATTAAAAATAGAGTGCATCCAAACAATTATTACAAACAGAATACCCACCCACATGCAAAAAAACCCCACCTCCTGAAACCTTTTCCCTTTCTTGTGACAACAGCACCTCCTGAAGGACGAAATGCATCTTGTTCTTGCATTGGAGAGTTCGGTTTGTAACCTAGGACTTGCTTGTCCTCAGTGCACAGAAATTAGATCAATCTCATACCATACGTATTTTTTTAGAAATGACTTGGAAAATAGTTGAACACCTTGTCTTAAAATATTTCATTCATCACGTTAAAATAAAATGTTCCGTAATCAATTTCTTTTATTTTCTTTTTTCAAGTTTTCCCATTTTTCGGCAGAAAACAAAAAAGGCTTCCGGGGGAAAAAAATGTTCTTCCCCCCGAATTTTTCCGTTGTTCTTTTTTGGGGGGGGCCTTCACACTTAGCTTCTAGGATCTGATGAGATCAGGCTTGCCTGGGCCATCCAGGTCAAGGCAAGAGACAAACAGAGGTGGTTTGACATTGCCCATCTCTGCATAGCAACCCTAGACTTCCTTGGTGGTCCATCTAAGTACTAATACCCCCGCCCTTCACTACCCAAAGGAGTCTAAGAACGGCTCCATGGGCACAAGAAGTCAACGGAACGAGGCAGTCTGTCCCCAGGTTCACAGCAACACAAACGGACCAAGTCCTAACCAGTGTTCCCTCTAAGCTGAGTGAGTGTGAGCTAGCTCACAGTTTTTTAGCCTCTGGCGCACACATTTTTGTCCTAGCTCAGGAAGGAGGGCTCCAGAGCAGACTGATTCATGCAGTGGACAAATCGCTCGCTCACGATTTTAATGTCGGTAGCTTACAAAGTAGAATTTTTGCTCGCGAGACACCACAGCTTTGAGGGAGCTGTAATGTATTAAGATGGCCGCGGCCATGGGGTCTAAAACATACCTGGACCTTTGCCCATACAAACAATAGCCACTTCGGATCCTAGGGCGTACCAATGGGTTCGCCTGGATCCGAAAGTAGACCAACCAGGTCTGTTGCATGTAAATAGAACCAATCTTCCCTCTAAGCTGTGGAGTCTTGTGAGCAAAAATTCGACTTTGTGAGCTACTGGCATTAAAGTTGTGAGTGAGCTATTTGGCTGCTGCATGAATTAGCTTGCTCTGGAGCCCTCCTTCCTGAGCGGAGACAAAAATGTGTGAGCTGGAGGCTAAAAGACTGTGAGCTAGCTCACAGTAACTCAGGGGGAACACTGAATACAACCTATCACTGGTCTTGGTGTGTGTGCTGGGTGTGGTGAGTTCACGCATATAAGCCGGCCTGTGGCCGGCCAAAGTTCTCTTCAAGTTCCTGATGTAATCAATAAACTTTGAGCTGATTCATTATGCTGAGCCTCCGCTTCCAGTACTTTCCAGGAGCATTGGTCCTAACTACATATGCAAAATAGCTCCTGAAGATGGAGATGTTTGGATGATGGAAAAGGAGGAGATGCTTCCTCCTGTGGCCTTCCGCCTCTCCTGACATCACTTGCAAGGTCACATTTGCAAGGGGAATTGGGGAAGGCAGGACTCTGGCTCGATAGGTGCGGGGTCTGGAAGCCGGCAAGTCCCCAGCGACCATCAGAGAGAGGGAGGCAGCTGTTCCAGAGCAACTCATATTTATTGAAGTACAAAATCAGAATGCAGAAATATTTAAAGATTTGGCAATGTAGTATCCACCATTCAGGGGGGAAAACTCCAATATCTATTAGAAACAGGAGGAGGAGGAGGAGACTGGATTTATACCCCGCCCTTCACTACCTGAAGGAGTCTCAGAGCGGCTGACAATCCCTTCCCCTCTCCACAAAAGACACCCTGGGAGGTAGGCGGGGCTGAGAGAGCTCTTTTGAGGACTGCCCTTGAGAAAACAGCTCTGAGAGAACTTGTGACTGACCCAAGGTCGCACCGGCAGCTGCATGTGGAAGAGTGGGGAACCAAACCCGGTTCTCCCAGATTAGAGTCTGCCCTCCTAACCACCACACCAAACTGGCTCTCGTGTGCACTTATAGAAATAATGTGTAAGGAATATACATTCCGGCCACTTGTCAAGTGGTTGGCAAAGGGCCTTGAGTAGCAAGAAACACTGACGTTAGATGCTTTCAGCATCCAAAGTAGCTGTCAATTAAGAAATGGGATGGACTTAATGAAACCCAGAACCCTCCCCTTGCTGACCAAATGAACTCTGCTCAGTCAGCCCATAATCTACTAGGTTAGAAGGAGGAGGATTGATACCCTGCCCTTCACTACCCGAAGGAGTCTCAGAGCTGCTTACAATCCCTTTCCCTTCCCCTCCCGACAACAGACACCCTGTGAGGGAGGTGGGGCTGAGGGAGCTCTTTCGAGGACTGCTCCTGAGAGAACAGCTCTGAGAGAACTTGTGATGGACTCAAGGTCACACCAGCAGCTGCATGTGGAGGCGGCATGGGGAAATCAAACCTGGTTCTCGCAACATAGAGTCTGCTGCTCTTACCCACTACACCAATGTGGCTCACACCCGACACCCTCCCCATGTCAAGATGGGGTTCGGGAGCCGCAAACCCTGATATCTGAGATGTTCGAGGCTGAAACTCAAAAATGGAAACAATTATTGTCGGACAAAGTGCATTGTCAGGTCAGGGCTTGCTTGAGAGCAGCTATACTACCAAGTGTCTGACTCCAGGTCATGTTACTCTGAACAACCCTCTCTTTGGCAGTGAACTGTTTATTTTATTTTTTTTAATAAAGATTTTATTGACTCCCCTAAAAAGGGGAGATATTTCGCTTAAAAGAAAAAATGGGAAGGGTAGACAGTGGGAGAAAGAGAAAGCTGAGTGATATATAAACTGGTAAATTAAACTGTTAGTAATGTCCAATTAATCTTCTTGGGCTTCTTCTGTGTGTTGTCAAACTTCTTTTCTTAGTCCTGTTACATGTATTCTCTGTTAGTATGTTAGTAATGTTCCTTTGAATTTCTGTTAATAAAAAAAAATCTCTTCTGTGCACATTCAGAACCGCTTCTTTGCGTGCTGGGTACTTTTACTATCGCTGACATGGAGGAGCTTCCTCTGTTGTCTTCTCCTTCCGGCTTGTTAGATCCTCCTTCGGGTTGTTGTTAATACTCTCAGTTCATGCACTATAAATCCTCTTCCTTTCATGCCCCGGAGGTCCCCATTTTCGAGAATGGTATCAATTTCATTTTCGCTTTTATATTCGCTCCCAGACTCTCTATGGGTCCTCCTCGCAATTGTTGACTTATAAGCGCTTATCAGGCACTTCTCGCTGTCACAATTCCAACTTATCTTTTTTGCAAAACTCCCGTCGGATTCACAGCCATAAACAGTCCAAACATTCAACAGCCGGCTCTTACACACAAACAAACGTCCAGACGGAAGTCCCTCCCTCCTTCTCCGCTCGCTTTTGCCCAGCTCCGACATCTTTTCTTTTTTGTTTACTTTTAGAAAGTTCTTAAAATGTGCTCCAGAGAGACAAGCTTCTCGCTTTCAAATACATCAAAGGAAAACATCACTGTCCGCTCAAGCCATTCCCCCCCTCCTTTTCTTTTTCGCTTATACAAATGGAGGGTTAACCTCTTCGCCTTTTTCGCTGGGAGGGGGGGGAAACAATTTTCAGTTCTTTTTCTCTGCATTTTGACAACTCACAGTTAAGCCGATCTTTTCTTATTCTTTTCCATTTTTGCGGATGGTCGCTTTATCACTCGGTGACGTCTGGTGGCTCCGCTAAACCCCGTTCGGGGTCGCTCACGCAGCAAGGTCCATTGGGGCAGGGCATGGCGGGAGCCTCATTCTCCGACCTCTCGGCCGAAAGAGCGACTCCCCCCTAGTGCGCCCTAAAGCGCCCCGGATCCGAGCTCCTCTCTTCTGAGGGGCTCGTTCGAGTCTCCGCTCGCGCGGATTCCCTCCTCCACCGCGGGCGGGCGAGGCGCCCTCGGGAGCGACCCGAGGAAGCGTCCGCCATGCGCGGGAGCCAGACCGGAAGCCTCA